CCACAGTTTTCTGGAGCAAATAGCAAGCAGCCTTGCTGACATGCTAATTCGACCTAAGTTTTATTCCTAGGTCGGGGGTGGGGGTGGGTGGGGGGCAGGGAGTACACAGCAGCGGCCTTGCCAACGTGCTGTCCCAACCTAAGAGGTAGAGGTCAAAAGCTTAAGACAGATCCTTGGGCCCTACCGGGTCGGACTCCTCCACAAAGCCATGTGGGTTTTATTGCTCTCAGATCTATACATTTTAAATTAATTTTAATTAAAATAAAATGCAGTGGCAGCTACTATTTTGGAGAATCAATTAATACAAATTGTTTCTAATATTTCTGTTATATTGGATGAGTACACCCAGCATATCTCCAGGTCCATTTACCCCTGCTTCAGCGGATTCCTTGGAACACCATTCCTCCAGTTAGAGGCGGGATCATCTCCAATAATTTCCTCTCCATTTCTACCTTAAAGAAGTACTTACAGAAATATTTTAAAAGGCACTCACACAGAAAAGACACATCAGTCAGTTAGTTATACCCTAAAGTTTGAGTCCAGAATATCAATAATTAAATTTGAAGATGTTTTAACAGGCTGTGACATAATAAACTTGACTTACGTTATATATTTGATTGGTGATGAAGTCACGGTCACGGAGGGCCTCTAAGAAAGGAAATGTCTTCTTTATTGCATGCGAAATTTCCACTTTATGCTTTTTGAAGTGATTGAATATAGTTTCATAGAAAAACCTTTCGTCCATATCCTGTTCTTCTCCAGAAACACTAAAAAAAGATACTATGTGAAAATAGTTGTCACAATTCCAAGATGTTTGTGAAGGTTATGAGGTGTTCTATGTGAAGGATTGCTGTGAAGAAGAAACATATATAAAAAAAGGTGGTCCTGGGTAGAGACCAGACTAAACAGAATAGAAGCAATAAAAAGAGATATAATAGAAGAAAATGTGAAGGGTATGAAAGATTCATATACATAACTGAAAAAATTCTAGTTTGTTCTAATCAAAGCCAGTGTACATATATCTTTACTAAGCATAGTAAAACACATCTTTAATGAAAAAAAAATTTTTACAAATCAAGATGGAGGAAGCAATTCATCCACAGAGAATACAAAACAATGCAATGAAAATAGAATCTAATAAAGAAAAGCACCTTAATTAATGACCAAGTGAAAATAAATCTCAAAAAGATGTCTGGTTTCTGAGTTAGAGCTATCAAGGAAGAAATATCCTACATCAAAAAATTAATTCATAATTGATGGGAACCAGCAGTTAGCGTAATGGCTATGTCGCTGGACTCCCACGTAGTCCACCGCGGTTCGTGTCCCGGGCCCGGTGGCTTAAAACTCACGCCAGGCGCGTGTGCGTGCGTGCCCAAGATCCCGAGAGGAGAATGGAGGAGAAGGGATTGCGGCGTGACCATCCCCCCTGGGGGGTGATTTCTTGCTTTCTGTCTCTATGTCTCTCTCTGTCTGTCTGGCGAGCGCACGCGCCCTACAGTGAAAATCTCTCAAAAAAAAAAAAATTAATTCATAATTGAGAGAATGTAGTTAAATAATAATAATAATATGATATGGTATAAATTTAGAGCATCACAAGAATATCAATCACATCTGTTTCATGGTCACTTTTTTTTTTTTTGAGAGATTTTCACTGTAGGGCACGTGTACTCGCCAGACAGAGAGAGACATAGAGACAGAAAGCGAGAAATCACCCCCCAGGGGGGATGGTCACGCCGCAATCCCTTCTCCTCCATTCTCCTCTCGGGATCTTGGGCACGCATGCACACGCGCCCGGTGTGAGTTTTAAGCCACCGGGTCCGGGACACGAACCGCGGTCGACTACGTGGGAGTCCAGCGACATAGTCATTATGCTAACTGCTGGTTCCTTCATGGTCACTTTTTTGATGAGGCTTAACTTTGACAACATATCTAAAATCACAACTACAGTCCTCCCACCATGCCCCTGTACTGCCAACACCTTAATCTAGCTCTTCTTTATTCTGTCCTTAGCACTTCTAATGCAATTACTTATTTATTTTATTGATTGCTCATGTCTTATTGTCTCTCTTTTTCAAAAAAAATATATGCTGTTGGGATTTTATCTATTTTTTATGTTTGTTTTGTTTCCTAAATAATTATTTATTGAATTTTATTTGTTATGGTTATTATTATTTTAATTTTCTATAGGGCACATGCACTCACCAGAGAGATAAAGAGAGAGAGAGGGAGAGAGAAATGGAGAAAACAAGCCAACAGGTCCAGTATTCAAACTGCCACTTGCCAGCCCTGGGACTTCATTTATTTTGTTCATTGATTTTCCTTGAATACTGATAAATATCAGGTAACCAATAAATATCTGCTGATTAGATGACCATAAATATAAAAATATTTATTGAAATGTTTTTAGTAGTAATCAACAACAATACTGGCCCCAAACTTAAAACAGCTCAGTTATACATTTGCCTGAATGATTGGGTACATCATGGCAAATATATCTTGTTGAAATGGTACAAAGCTATTTATTTCTAGAAGTGTATATTGAAAGTCATAGTTTTATTGCTGAATAAAAACAGGAAATTTGGATTACTATTATCATCTCATTTTTATATAAATAAAACTAATAAAATATTTTATTTGTATCTAAAATTTGAAAAAAAAAATGCTGGGAAGGGCAGGGAATGCAACAGCCCAGGTTACTAACACTGACTTAGTGAACAGTGTTAGGATTCCATCAGGTCAGCTCCCTTCAGATTTTTCTTTTATCACTTTTTTTGTAACATCAGGAAAAAAAAATAACAGAAGTAACAAAGTAAATAGATCAAGATTTTAGGATAAGTATATGGAGTGGTACTGTTTCACTTTAACATTTTAAGTTTTTTAAAGTTTATTGTCATGTTTGAAAATAAAAGTAGGCAAAATAACAAAGTATTTGGGGATACATTCAACAAACACAATGTAAGATTTGTATATTGAAAACTAAAAAACATTGATGACAGAAATTAAAGATCTAAATAAGCAGAGTTATCTATGTTCATGGATTGGAAGACTCAATATTTTTAAGATGACAATTTTCTCCAAAGTAATCTATAGTCAGTGCATCTTCTATCAAAATACCAGCAAGACTGTAGAAATAGAGAAGCTGATCCCAAAATTTATGTACAAATGCAAAGAACCCAGAATAGCCAAAATAATCTTGAAAAAGAAGAACAAAGTTCAGGGGTTAGACTTGCTGATTTCAGTACTTATAATAAAGCTAAGTGAATCAGGTCAGTTCTAGTATTGCATAAAGATAAAGATCAGTGAAACTGAATCAAGAATGCAGAAGTAAATCTTTATGGTTTTTTTGTCAACTGATTTTTTAATAAAAGTTGCTATGGCAATTTCATGAGGAAAAGAGTCTCTTCACCAAAAGGTGCTAAGAAACTGGGTATCCAGGATCAGTAGACGGCATAATGGTTACATTGTTGGACTCCTATATAGTAAACAGTGTTTTGAGTCCTGGACCTGTTGGCTTAAAACTCATGCCAGGCGCATATGCGTGCTTGCCCAAAATCCCAAGAGAACGGTGGAGAAGGGACTGTGGCTTGGCTAACCTTTCTGGGAGGTGATATCTCACTTTGTGTCTTTCTGTCTCTCTCTGTCTCTCCAGCAAGTGCATGTGCCCTATAGCAAAAATATTTCTAAAAATTTAATAAAACAAAATAAAATAAACTTGATATCTACCTGCACAGAGATGAATTTAGACCCTTACCTCACACTATAAACATAAATCAACTCAAAATTATAAAACTAAATGTAATACCAGGGTCATATTCACAGGCATGCATCCTGCACAGTCACACAAGGCTCCATGCTTGGTTTAATGTTCTCTTTTCACTGTCGTGAAATTCTTAATAATTGTGAGCAAGGGTTTTTTTTAATTTTACTTTTCACTGGGTCATTCAAATTAGATAGCTGATTCTGTATAAGAGCAAAAAATAGTAAAACTTTGTTGATGAGGATGTGTATAGTATTCTCAACTGGACTGAGATGTATATCGTGCTGGGTCAAATCTCTTTATAATCTAAATGATGTATAGTGATTGACTGTATAAATAATAATAATAAAATGATAAAAAATAAAGAGGACCAGTTGAATTGAGGAAAGATATAGTAAAACTTATGGGAGACAATCTTTGTGACATTGGATTAGATGAAGAGTTAACTACAACACCAAAAGCATGGCCCAAAAAACAAAAAAAAATGATAAATTGAATTTCAATAAATCTAAAACTTTTTTTGGGGGGGAGAGGTTTTTCGCTATAGGGCGTGTGCGCTCACCAGACAGACAGAGAGAGACATAGAGACAGAAAGCGATTAATCACCCCTCAGGAGGGTGGTCACACCACAATCCCTTTTCCTCCATTCTCCTCTCGGGATCTTGGGCACACACGCACACACACCGGCGTGCGTTTTAAGCTACCGGGTCCGGGATGTGAACCGTGGTCGACTACGTGGGAGTCCAACGACATAGCCATTACGCTAACTGTTGGTTCCCAATAAATCTAAAACTTTTGTGCTTCAAAGTTGCCAGTAAGTAAAATGAAAAGACTCATTATAAACTGGGAGAAAATATTAGCCAATTACATTTCTAATAAACAACTTGTATTTCTTGCAAAGAATTATTACAACTCAGGAAGACAAAGAACAGATTGTTTTTAAGTGACAAATTATTTAAGTAGGCATTTCTCCATGGTTATATAAGAAAAGTAATGCAAATGCAGAAAGATGCTTAATGTCATTAGTCATTAAGGAAGAAGCAAATTAAAACCACAAGCTATCAATACACCTTTTAGAATTATCACACTCAAGTAAAATAACAAGTATTAGCAAAGTTGTGTTGCTTATACATTGAGGGTAGGAATGTAAAATGGTGCTTTGAAAATGTTGCAAGATTGTTTCTTAAAATGTTAAACATAATGTTACTATGTGATTCAATAATTCCACTCTTGAGTGTTTACCTAGGAATGAGAACATATATTCACACAGAGATTTGCATAAAAATATTATTCATTGCAGCATTGTTAATGACAGACAGAAAAAAATAGAAACAAATAGTGAATGGATAAATAAAATTGATAGGTCCATACAGTGGAATACTATTCAGCAACGAAAAAGAATCAGATCATCATACATGCTACAATAAGGATGACTCTCAAAAAAATGCTAATGAAAAAAGCAAGATGTAGAAAAACCACATAATGTATGATTCTGTTTATATCAAATACCCAGAAAAAGGGAAATTAAATTATCAAAATTCAAAGATAAAGAGAATTTTGAAAGCAGCAAGAGAAAAATGATTTATCACATACAAGGGAGCTGCCATATGACTATTAACAGGTTTCTCACATAAATCTTAGAGGCCTGGAGAGATTGGAATGATGTATTCAAAACAGTAACACAAAAAACTGCCAGCCAAGAATACTACAGCCACCACAGTTGTTCTTAAGAAATGAAGGAGCAATTGCAGTGTAGAATGTTAACACACTTGTGTTAGAAATGAGCAAATCTACTAGGTTGTTGGGAAAGTTATGACATTTTTTCTATGCAAAAATGTGTCATGACTTTCTCAACAGTCCAATAGTAGGCCAAAATTAAACCAAGATATAAGATTTGAGTAAAATAATGAGCACTCTGGGTAAAACTGACATGCAAAGAGGGAGTTACAATTTGTTGCATACATTAGATGATCCCTAACACTTTTGAGAGTTCACTCTGTATCAGACCTT